TGTTACTACTGTGGAGAAAAAGGGCATTTCATCACACTTTGCCCTGTTCGTCCTCCTAGACCTCCAGCTCTCCGACTGGGTACTACTTTCCTCCACCCTGTGTACACTGCATGCTAGCCGTGTCCCCGTCTTGTGACACAAAAGGGTACCCAAACTACTACAGTCAATGTTACCAGTGTCCCTCAAGAACCTGCAACCAGTACCCCTGTGGTATCTCCACCTCCTGCTCCAGAAACATCTAGACCTCTTCCTGATGACACTTCTGCTCAAGCATGCACCATTACCACTTCCTGCCTTGCCAAAGAAGTTCTGCCACCTGACTGCACGTATGCCTCAAATGGCACAGTTGTATGCAAACAGGATCTAGAAATATTTGAAAAAGCATTGAAAGCTGCAAATACCTCCCCTGTGAGAACTACTAGAGCAAAGGCTACAGTAGGTGCTGTGTTCACCTCTAATCTGGAAGAAGGCCGTACGTATGGCATGGATGCCTATGGAAAAACATACCTCCTGCCTGATGATGTATTTGATCTCTCAGAGGAGGAAGGTAATGATAAGCAATCAAATCACACCCAGAGGGTGTTCTTGAAGGGGGGGGTACTGTCACGGTTCTCGCCACATCAAACAGATGGCTAGACGTGGTCACCTGTGGAGATCCCAACAAGGGCCTTGAACCGGGGAACTTTGCAGTCCTGGTCCTGCTTCCTACCTCTGAGCCACAGCAGCTTTTGTATTCTGCAAGTCATTCCGGTCCTGTTCATCCTGGCTTGTCTATCACTCTGGGAACTGTACCTTGAATTTGGCTGTGCTGTACCTGAACCTGATCAGACATTAGCAGGGTATTTAAACTCAGCCTCGCCCTGTGATCAGGATCAAGTCTTTGATCCTGTTGTGTGCCTTGTACCAGTGTTCCTGTTGTTTGAGCTGCTACTTGTTATTGACCCCGGCTTCTGACTACGTTTACTCTGACCTCTGGCATCCCTTGACTTCGGCTACTCCTCGTTGTTCCTGTCTTCTGGCATCCTTTGACCTCGGCTATCCTTTGACGATCCTGCTGTTTGAGTCCTTGCCTGTCCTGCGACTTGGTACTTCATCCTGCACAGCCCCGTGCACAGACCCACAGGCCGGGTGAATTCTTACCTGACCACCTTGGCCTGTGGCTATCTGCAAGGGTGAGCAACATATCTGCGCTACAGACTCCCAACCCAGGTAAGACCCTGACAACACCAAAACTACTTCATTAAACTAAAATAGTTTTGATGTGAAAAGAAGAGAGTGGAAGGAGAAGGGGAATTAAAAGGAGTTAGGGGATGTGCCAATTGGCTTGGAGACAGCCACTCCCTAAAATGCTACCACCCTTCCATGTAGCCGAGGCAAGATACCAAATTTCACATTTTAATTAATAACCTGCCAGTTTATAGTGTTTGTAAATGTAGGTAGAGGCTGCTCTGACACAGCAGTTTATTTAATACAACATTTGCACCTTATTAATTTATAAATCTAAGCTTTGTTCTTCTTTTATGTTCTTCTCACACTGTTTTATTTAATTTTGACAATAAATGTAATACATTTTGACTTTCAGAATAAGAAACATTTTTGCCATTCACAGCTTGCGTATGTTATTTATTTAATTATATTGTCTTTTTGTAGTTTTGATTTTCTGTTATTTGAGGATATCTGATTAAGGCATTTAAAAAAAAAATTAAAAAATATTTGACACTTTGACTATCCGGGTGGAGAAGTGCCCTCTCCTAAAAGTTCATTTTCTTGAGACACCAAAATGGGGGTTTGTTGAAAAAGTGCATTTTATTGTAACCACTTTGTGATCTGTTCTGTCATATTCTTCTTGGACCCAGGCAGCATCGAGCCAGCCTATTACAGACTGAAAATATCTCTCTGATCCATGGCATAGCACCAAGCGATTGAGAATTTCTGTGTGGCATTAACCCCTTAAGGACACATGACATGTGTGACATGTCATGATTCCCTTTTATTCCAGAAGTCTGGTCCTTAAGGGGTTAAAGAGACTCTACGCCCCAAAATCTTTCTGAAGTGCTTTGTATGAAGAGTGTTCTCAGGGCCAGCACAACCATAAAGTGGCACAGGCGACCGCCTTAGAGTACACTGGCCCTCTCTGGGTGACAGGCAGGAGGGAAGAGCGCTGCACTCCCCTTCCGCCAGTCACCTCGTGTAATGTAGCCACACAGACCACGGTAGAGGATCTTCTCTATCCTCTACCCAGGCTGACAGGAAGCTGAGAGCAACTGACATCTTCCTGCCAGACCGGGTAGGATACAGAAGATCCTCTAGCGCGGCCCGCGCAGCCACGCTACGTGTGCCAGGACAGCCGTGTAAGCTTATAGTGTGAAAAACAAAATAAGAAATGTCCAGAAATAAACATTTTTGCATAACTCATATCTAACTTTTATTTAGGTATGGCTTGTACAGTATTCTCACATGTTACAGTTCCAATTTAAAGATTTCTGCTGATCAACCTCTAATTCCTCTGGAGCAGTACATGTTGTGCTTTAAATCTCCCTTCATTCATTGTACATTGTTTCACAAATTTAAAGATCTGGTAGCCTAATGTTGGGATGGAATTGCTTCTGTCCCATCAATGTAGACATGCACCATAAACCCGAACTGTCACTACTGATATTTTTTGCATAATACAAAAGCTAATTAAATTCTATGGGTTGTGTTTTTTTTTTAACATTCCTAGTAGTTTTCTTTTTTTGTTTTGTTTTTTTTATTCAATGTTATTCATGGATGTCTGGGCACAGCCAGGGCATACTATGCAAATTAGATCAACCCTCATTAATAAAGGAATGCCTCTATTCAGATGGCCAAGCTGCTGGAGAATCATGGGATGACAATGTTGCCTGACACATGGAAGTGCCATATGGGTAAGTGTCCCTTTTATTTAATATGCAGAAAACGCTCACACTTCAACAATAAAAGCGCTCCTTTATTTGTAGTCATGTAAAAGAATTTCTACAATAAAGATGTCGAAAAAACTGTGCACAGAGCGTGTCAAACTAGCATCACCCGAGACATATTCGAACGCGTTTCATGCTATACTAGCTCTTGAATAGGCCTTACTTGGGTGCAGGAACCAGGAAATATTCCAGAGATTCGACAGTTCCCTTTAAAGTCAAATTTATGACTAATATGCTTCATGGATGTAACTGGTAGGTACTGTAATATTTACTAAAATCCCATACTGATATATTACAGAAAGTTCTGTGTAGATGTGTCCTTTTCAAAATTGTTAATTAAATAATGTCATGGTAATTAAAAGTCCGTCATGTTCTGTTTTTCCTTTCTTTTAACATACAGTTTTATATTTGTATTTAAAAGATTTTGACGTAACTTATCGCTCGCAGCTGCTTAGGAACAGCGATAATGCGGGGGCCAATCATAAGTAAAACATTTCCTCGATTCGTTCTCGTGTGTCTTTCATGTCACGTCAGATTTTTCTGTAAAACAAAGCAAATTGTAAAACAAGTTGACTCCTAATTGTAAGATATGTAATCAGAAGAAAACCGAAATGGAAAGGGTATTCTGTGACAGCTTACAACGACATAATCTGTTTTCCTTGTCAGAGTGTATTAAGTCAACTTTTATACGTAGATGATATAAGTAATGAAAACATGAATCTGTATTTGGCAGACAGCTCAGAACAGAAAGGCTTTGATCGGTTTCTAACAATGGAACCATGTCTGTCTGAGGATAATTAAAAGGTTCTAACTCTCTCCTCTCTGTTTCTCTAACACTCTTTCTCCATTTCTAGCACTCTCTCTGTCTCGCTTGCAAATTATCCAAAAATGGGTCTGAGTTAGGGATAACATTAAATGGAAAGTACTTGGAAACAATTCTAAATACATTTAGTAACAGTGTGCAATGCTAGACTTCCATTGCAAAGGCTAGTTATGATGCTTTCATGTATAAAAAGGGCCAATGATTGATGTGACTAAAACACCAGTGCACAATTAATGTGTCTGTACCTGTGTGACATCATTGTAACATCACTGTCACATCATCCCTGATGAGCACAGTTTAGTCAGTAGACACTGCTTGGACAGTAGACACTGCTTAGCTGCTGTGGTGTTCACGTAGCTAAAGATGGGAGATAGTAAAACTATTTACTCGAGTTTTCCATGTGTACGCTGCGATGTAAGTAAAAGACTTTTATTTTCTATATAAGGTTCCCGTTATACATATTATTAGCTGAGAGTTTTATCATCTTAACCAAATCTCCAGTGTTGTCTAGGATGGGTAGATAAAGAGAGTACAGATGTGACCCTTTATATAATTATTAATGGGAAACATTGGTGAGGCTACACACTCACACACATGGATCTACCATTTTATTATTCCCTCAATATTTAATCCTTTCATTGCTCATTTTATTAATGTTCTTAGCACTGTGAGAGCCTATAGTTACTGCATCGGAGTTTGTGCTATGAGGTGCTTGTCCCTAATCCATTTCAACCTGTCCATCAATTGCTGGTGTTATAAGCCCCGTTGCCCCACTCAGGTGTGTCTCTGGGAAGCCATACTTTATCTGAATGTACAATTACTTGTATGCAGCATGGGTGTACTATAGAGTACTGCTTTTAGGATGTTCCATATTCAGTAAATACATGCACAAAGCACATTAATTGGTTGGTTATCCGATAATTTGTGGATTTCTTAGCCTATATATTGGGGACTTTTGTGCAACCAAAATTCTATTAAAGAAACACTAACAGCTTAATGTAGTGGTTTTGGTGTCTATAGCATGTGATCTGTGCATGGCCCCGCCCCCTCAGACTGAATAAAATATTCTGTGCATGGCCCCGCCCCCTCACACAGACTGAACACAGTGATCTGTGCCTGGCCCCGCCCCCTCAGACTGAATAAAGTATTCTGTGCATGGCCCCGCCCCCTCACACAGACTGAATACAGTGATCTATACATGGCCCCGTCCCCTAAGAACTGAACACAGTGATCTGCGCATGGCCCCGCCCCCTCAGACTGAACACAGTGATCTGTGCATGGTCCCACCCCCTCAGACTGAACACAGTGATCTGTGCATGGCTCCGCCCCCTCAGACTGAACACAGTGATCTGTGCATGGCCCCGCCCCCTCAGACTGAAAACAGTGATCTGTACATGGCCCCACCCCTCAGACTGAACACAGTGATCTGTGCATGGCTCCGCCCCCTCAGACTGAACACAGTGATCTGTGCCTGGCCCCGCCCCCTCAGACTGAACACAGTGATCTGGCCACCTTATCCCGCCCCCCTCCAGACTGAACACAGTGAATACCATTGCATGGCTCGCCCCCCAGGAGCTGAACACAGTGATCTGTGCCTGGCCCGCCCCCTCCGGAACACAGTGATACACACACAGCTACACACTATATACACACAGCACAGCTACACACTATACACACAGCACAGCTACCCACACTATATACACACACACAGCACAGCTACACACTATATACACACAGCACAGCTACACACTATACACACAGCACAGCTACACACTATACACACAGCACAGCTACACACACTATATACACACACAGCACAGCTACACACACTATAAACACACACTATATACACACAGCAAAGCTACACACACTATATACACACACAGCACAGCTACACACACTGTACACACACTATATACACACAGCACAGCTACACACTATATACACACAGCAAAGCTACACACACTATAGACACACAGCAAAGCTACACACACTATAGACACACAGCACAGCTACACACTATATACACACAGCACAGCTACACACTATATACACACAGCACAGCTACACACACTGTACACACAGCACAGCTACACACTATATACACACACAGCACAGCTATACACACTATATACACACAGCACAGCTACACACTATATACACACAGCACAGCTACACACACTATACACACACAGCACAGTTACACACACTATATACATACAGCAAAGCTACACACACTATATACACACACAGCACAGCTACACACACTATATACACACAGCACAGCTACACACTATATACACACAGCACAGCTACACACACTGTACACACAGCACAGCTACACACACTGTACACACACAGCACAGCTACACACACTATACACACACAGCACAGCTACACACACTATATACACACACAGCACAGCTACACACACTATATACACGCACAGCTACACACTATATACACACAGCACAGCTACACACTATATACACACACAGAACAGCTACACACACTATTTACACACAGCACAGCTACACACTTTATACACACAGAACAGCTACACACTCTATATTCACACACAGCACAGCTACACAGTATATACACACACAGCACAGCTACACAGTATATACACACACAGCACAGCTACACACTATATACACACAGCACAGCTACACACACTATATACACACACACAGCACACCTACACACTATATACACACACAGCACAGCTACACACACTATATACACACAGCACAGCTACACACACTATACACACAGCACAGCTACACACACTATATACACACACTATAGACACACAGCACAGCTACACACTATATACACACACAGCACAGCTTCACACACTATATATACACACAGCACAGCTACACACACTATATACACACACAGCACAGCTACACACTATATATACGCACAGCTACACACACTATATACACACAGCACAGCTACACACACTGTATACACAGCACATCTACACACACTATATACACACAGCACAGCTACACACACTATATACACACAGCACAGCTACACACACTATATACACACACTATATACACACAGCACAGCTACACACACTATATACACACACAGCACAGCTACACACACTATATACACACTATATATACGCACAGCTACCCACACTATATACACACACTATATACACACACACAGCACATCTACACACACTAGTACTGCAAGTAGTACTACTACTAATACGTTTACCATAACGAGAGCTCATAGCGCAGTTAATTGGCCGACAATGTAACAATATTAGCTTTCCTTTTGCCATTGTTTATATATTGTGTCCGTTCTGAAAATGTGAAATAATTTGGTGGTAAAGAGGGCATTTTGTTAAATTCCTATGTAAAGACCAACACTAGAGGAGAGGGGAAATTTAAATGAGCTTAATGGACAATTAATATTAATCTTAGCTCATACACACTATGGGGACGGGGTATGTGAATGGGGTTACTTAATCTAAAAGTCCAGTTTCTGTTCATCCTAATTATCCTTCTCATTTTACTAATTACTTTTTCAGGATCAGAAACATCTTGGTGATGCTCAGAAAAAGCTCCAAGATTGCGACAGAAAAATAGAAATTCTCCAACAAAAACCTTTGGATAAAGGTCCGGTGATGTCATATGTACTGTGTATTTTAAAGGAAGATTAGCGTGTAACAATGATAAAGTATCTTTCAGTTTTGAAGGGTTTCACCTCGGGAGCTTTATTGTTTTTCTGTCACATGGGGTCTGTTTTGGGTTCCATCTGCTGCTAAATGTGGCAATATATGTGACAAACTCAAAGAAATGGTGTGCATGGCGTCTGTTCCACTCTCTTATAGAAAGCTATGAGAGAGCTGTGCATATCCCATAATCCTCTGCACGCCATGGTTTTATGATGAAACATATTGCGCTTGGAAGTGGGAGACTATAAGCATGCAGCTGTGGTTCACATCTTATTTGTTTTATCTTTTGCAAAAAATAAATCTCTGACTTAACGTAAAGAAATTCCTTGCATAAAGCTTTATAAGATGAGTTCTTGCATAATGAACTGTGTCTAGACTGTCCCTTTAAAATAGCTAGTGTACGAAACAGTTCACTGAGACATGTAGATATCTGCGCAGAAACTTTATACAATTTTCCAGTTTTGTACAATAATGACAGGTGAAGTTCAGCGTATTACAATGTCTGCAAAGGGAAATGGCTGAAAAAATCTGACTCGTTAGTAGATCTGATTGGTGCTTTCAAACAATCAGAATACAGATAGAATTCAAAGCATGGTCAGTGACCAATAAAATCCACAGGAGAGAATAAACCCAGCAATGCAACAATATATCGAGAGACATAAACTCTGTCTATTGGGAATTCAAAGAGAATTTTAAACGGTTTAGGCGATAATACAAAAGTAAGATAATTTTTTACAATTTACTTATTCCGGAATATAAAATTTACTCGATAGTCCACACTTAACAGAACTACCATGTCAAAGTAAAGCTTGCTATTCTTATAATCTGATGTTTTATTTTTTTCTCTTAGTAACACCTGCAATAAATCCATTGGAGCAGCGCATTGAGGAGTTGAGCCACCGTTTTGTGATTGAGCGTGCCGTGGCTGAAGGATCCAAGCGCGCCATCAAGGCATTACATCCCGGGAAAGGACTTGTTCAGGTTAGTTATAAAGTGTATTCTTTTACCCATTTCATCCCCAGAGTGAATAATATGCTTTAACGTCGGTAGCCAAGTAGCCATGGCTACTAAATTCTTCTGAGACTTTAATTTCAAAAAACAATTTTTTTTTCTTTGCTGCAATTTGTTCTGCGTTTCACTCTGTCTCCATAATGTTTCACCCCCATTAGTTTTATTAAAAACTAAAAGCACGTTGTTGTATGTTCTACATGGATCTGACGTTATACCCGTGGCAATCCTAGATAATCAGTCGTTACTGGTCTTTGGTTTTCCGTTCAGCATCTAAATTGTTTGGGGGAATTCAAATCTGAATTGCAAACTGAGGCAAACATAGACATGCTGTGTCTACAGCCATGTTCGAATTTTCCCAGATTACCTATTTTAATTTCAGTTCTGCAGCTCAGATTTCAATTTGCTACAATCCAAACGTTGGTGATTAATCCTGCAGAGTTTTATTGTATTGAGCACTATGTAGAATTATAAACCATTTAGGAATGAAATGAAAGTATGACAAACACTGTTAAGACTTGTGCGTGTCACCTTGGATATCAGCTGATGTTGGACACCACCTCCCAGATGTTTTTGCCAGGAGATGAAGTCCATTGTTTTATTTAACTTTTTTGCTTCTTTTATAATATTTGAATTCTTCCATATCTTTTAACAGGCTCAAGCAGCACTACACGAGTCAAATGAAAAGCTGGACCTCCTCAAATATGCCTTGGAAGAACGAGTTAAAGAACTTCCTGATGGCCATCCTAGGAAGGGTCTTACCACCGAGGAGCTGTCCCTTGACTCTGTGCAGAGCCAAACTGGAACAAAACCCCAGCCCATAGCACTAACAGGTATGTTCTTTTCTATGTGAAATATCTGTCAGTCAGTGCATGTAGTGTTGGTTTTTGATGTAGAGGTATGTTTGTGTTTAAAAGGGACTCTATAGGCACCCAGACCACTTCAGCTCATTGAAGTGGCCTGAGTGCATATTCCCAGGTCCCTTAACCCTGCAAAGTTATTATTGCAGTTTTTTAATAAACTGCAATAATTACCTTTGTGGGTTAACTCCAACTCTAGTGGCTGCCTACCAGACAGAGACTAGAGGGACTTCTGAGTCGTTAGATGACTTTTGGTAGCCTAACTGATGCTGGGCGTCCTCACACTATGCATGAGGAGATCCAGCGTCACCCCAAACCCATATTATAATATTTTCCTATCATTGAAGAACTAATGCGAGCGCAGCCGTTCCCACACATGCGCATTAGGTCTCCCCGCCGACGTCAGCAGAGGCAGAGGCAGGAGCAGAGGTGGAACCCTTTCTGAACCACTGGGGGGGACTTGACTTAGGGGGGCACTATAGGGAATTATAGTGCCAGAAAAACAACTTGATAAAAGCATTTTAGTTACGAAGAAAGGTAAACAAATTTAAATCTGTTTAGTTTGGAAAAACGGCGCCTCAGAGGGGATATGATAAAATTATACAAATATATTCGGGACCAGTACAAACCATTATCTGGAAATCAATTCATAAACAGAGCTATACATAGGACATGAGGTCACGCATTTAGGCTGGAAGAAAGGAGATTTCATCTAAGGTAAGAACTATAAGGATATGGAATTCTCTGCCTGAAGAGGTGGTTTTATCAGAGTCCATACAGATGTTTAAACTGCAATTGGATAAATACTTCCAAAAACATAACATACAGAAATATGATTTCTAATTAGTGGGGTAAAAGCTGCTTGATCCAAGGAGACATCTGACTGCTATTTTGGGGTCAAGAAGAAATATTTTCCTAGTTTGTTGCAAAATTGGAAGCACTTCATACTAGTTTTTTTTGCCTTCTTTTGGATCAACAGCAAAAACATGTGAGGAAGGCTGAACTGGATGGACGCAAGTCTCTTTTCAGCTGTGTAACTTTGTAACTGTGTAACTATGTATGTAGTGTTGACTTTTGAATGCAGGGGTGTATTTGTGTGTAGTGTTGTCGTTTGAATGCTGAGAAGTATACACATATAGCCATACCCTGTCACACACACACTGATACACATATATATATACATGTAGATAAGCAGGCACGCACATTGACACACATGCAGATACACAGACACACAGATACAAACACTGACACACATGCAGATTTCCATACACACAGAAACAAACACTGACACACATACAGATACACAGACATACAGATACAAATACGGATAGGTACACAGACAAACGGATACACACACTGGACACATACAGATAAATAGAAAAATCATAAAAACACACATACAGATACATTAGCTGGTTAAAATATTAGCCACCCTCCGGGTTCTTACCTTTTGATTGCTTTTGAAAGTTAAGGAATTGCTCTTTCACCTTCCTCCCCCCCCTACCACCCCCCTGTCTAAATCACAATGTATAATTATCTAATTATCTGAATATTTTTAGTAGACATATTACTGAGGATTTACCCATTCCCAATGTTCTCATTAATTCTGTTTTGCTTTATTTGCATATTTATTGGGTTTCCACAAGTCTGAAGGTTTATCCAGATGCGGTCCCCTTTAAACTTGTATAGTATGGACCTGTTGAAACTCTGTTTCTTAATTACACTTGTGTGTGCTTTATATCTCACAGAACAAATAGTGAATGTTTCCCCCTAATTGCTCAAATAAGCTAAACCTTGTTTGAGGACTGAGTAGGGACTAACTGAAGCTACCAAGTTTTTGTCTGTTTGTAAATTGAGTTTTAGTTATTTTACATTCTGACAGAGACATAAAAGCTGCCTAATTGTTGTTCTGACCAAATCGTGTTCTGCTTAGAACAACTATGAAGTTCCCTTTAACAAAATAATGGTTTTGGAAAGATGGTAGTGGTGGTGGGATCCAAGAGGGAACCCAATATTATATTGTAGGACATTGGTAAGAATAGAATGAATATGTTCTTGTGATGACGTCAAGTAAAACTCTAATAGCCATTCTTGCAATGTTTATTCTAATGTTTGACAGGTACCCTGGAAGTGCGACTCAAGGGCTGTCTAGATATTCTGGAGAATGTACCTGGCAGACTAAAGGACCTGTCACATGTCATCCCTGGCAGGAGTCCGCGTCGAGGAAGATTCTCATTTATGAACAAAATAAGAAGAAACAACCGTGTCGGCATTCTGAGAGTGCAAGAGACTGGTAGCTTTTCCAATACAGTGATTTTTCTCTTCTATTTCCCATTATGTGTATAGCGATGTTCAAAACAGTGCTCAATAGCTGGGGTTTCAAGCACTTGCCGCCGACAATTGTTGAATTACATTTCCCATTAGAAATACAAATATTAGTATCTGATAGAATTCCCTCTCCTCCACAAAGACCCTACAAATGAACCACAATTCTGAAAACATTGTCAAGGAAATCAGTTGTGTAATGCATATTTCTGGATATTCGAGCACAGTTGCTTTATTTCCACCAATTATTTGAAATATTCTAAATGGAGTGACTCTAAACATCAACAGTGAAGGGAGCATTACGGTTCTTCCTCGTGGGAATCCTATGTGTCATCTTTATATCCTCCTATACAAATCAAGATAGAAGTTGCCTTTTGAAATGCCCTGCTGGTATATGGGAAGAATACTGGCTCACAATGCCACTTATTGTCTTAGCTAATCAACAGACGATATCCGGACTACTTTCCACTTTGTTGGTTTCCATTGTTTCTCTGGCTCTTTGACTTTACCAGACCAAGACTTACCCACCACTCACAATCCTACTATGACTACGATCACCTGAACTTTCCTGATTATTTGTTATGCTGATAGCATTTGTGATTTTCTATGAATACAATCCGTTGCTTTTCTCCCATTACCATTCCACTTCCTTTAAAATTGTATAATTCCTTTTATAATGAATATATATATATAGGACAGTGACATGTGATATATTACATTAAATTATTATGTGCCTTTAAACTCTTAATAAATTGAAGTTGAAAAAAATCACAATATACATGCTATGATAGAAACATTTATCCCCTTAAGGACCAAACCTCTGGAATAAAAGGGAATCAGGACATGTCACAAATGTCATGTGTCCTTAAGGGGTTAAATACATAAAGGGAATCAACACAGTAAAGGAGGAGACCATATTTAAAAGAAGAAAAACTACCACAACAAGAGGACATAGTCTTAAATTAGAGGGACAAAAAAAATAAAAATAATAATATCAGGAAGTATTACTTTATAAGAGAGGGTAGTGGATGCATGGAATAGCCTTCCAGCTGAAGTGGTAGAGGTTAGCACAGTAAAGGAGTTTAAGCATGCGTGGGATAGACATAAGGCTATCCTAACTATAAGATAAGGCCAGGGACTAATGAAAGTATTTAGAAAGTTGGGCAGACTAGATGGGCCGAATGGTTCTTATCTGCCGTCACAATCTATGTTTCTATGTTTCTACATTCCCATATCATGCCTACTGCTGCTTTACATCCACTAAATCTGTTGATTCAGGACCCCAGCCTGCTAAACCTGCTTTAGATTTCAATAGAAATTGGCACTTTTATAAATTCACTATATATTCAATTCTATTTACCTATCAACAAACAACCTTTAATTTCCCTTCCCCCTAAATTTGCCATATTCAGGCTAATATTGCCATATTCAGTACCATAATAAGAAATTATTAATATTACTATTCGCAGCAGCTCAAAAACAATATTTTAAATTGATAGACAGCCACAATGACCTCATTTAAAATCAAACTCTCTTACCTGTTCCCTATGATTTACTTACACACACTATCTTAGTGAAACAATTCTGTGGACAAATCTGGGGACAATATATACCCACACTAAATTTAACCACCCAAAGGCAAATCAAACTACTCTAGAATATATATCTTGGTACTGGGGCCAGGGCTAAAGTGGTTGCGGAGGGCTCATTATACAAACACCATTATCTACATTTTCTTCCAAAAAAGACAGAGGATAAGAACACAATTTTCAACATATTTTTAGTTAATACGTTCTTGTGTTATTTTGTTTTTTTACATATATCTCCTGGCTTATATTTAGACCATGTTAACCGGCCACTACAAATTTATCTAGATTTGTTTTTAACAGAAAACAAGAGAATGCACTACCCAAAAGACATCAAACTCCTAGATCTTTGGTTAAAGATGGCAGAGGCAACTTTATGCTGTCATCTGTGTTTTGACCATGGCTGTGTGTTGATTCTATTCTCAGTTAGATGTATTCTTTATGATAAAGTACTCGGAGCCTTTTATGTTCATGACATTTCCTTACAGGTGAAGTCTGTGCTCAGTTGAAGATTGACCACATTTTAAAGGGTTCTACAAATTGGAAAACTGTGTCTAATCCATCCTGGGATGAAACGTTTAAACTGGATTTGAACAAGGTACGGATGTGTTTAAACCCAAGTATATTCACCCTAGAAAGGGACATTTTGCAAAAAGATTTGCTGATAGGAAGAGTAAAGGAAAATTAGTAGCAAAAAAAGAAACAAACAAAAAAAATGTTTCTTGTTATGCGAATGTCTGTATTGTTTTTTTATGTTTTGTTAGTATCAATACTACATATTCCTTATTAACATCCATTGGTAGCCAGAGGAAGAACTCATAATAATGTAATATTTGCGAGTCCTGTAAAGGGTTGTCCTGGTCAGTTTGATTGGAAAATAAGAAAAGGGCATTTAAAGCATTTAAATCGGACAAATCAGAGGCATACTAAATAAGATATAAGGAAGCCAATAATGCGTGCGAAGAGGCAATTAAAGTGGCTAAACTAGTAAATGAGAAATGGATAGCCAAAGAATGCAAAACCAACCCCCAAATTGTTTTCAAGTACATCAATTCTAAAAAAAAATAAAAAAATGAAAGTGCAGGTACACTGGAAACAGAGATGGGTCTGTTAGTTAATGAAGACCAGGAAAAAGCAGAAATTTTAAATAACGATTTTTCTTCAGTATATATTAATGAGGATCCTATGGCAAGAGATATGCAAATGATTGCTGCAAAATACTTGCAGATAGCTTGTGATTAGATGACTTGAGACAAGGTGCTAAAGCAGTTAAAGAAAATTAATGTACATAAAGCTCCGTGACCTGACGGTATTCACCCACAAGTACTTAAGGAGCTAAGTGGGGAAATAAGTAAACCTCTGTATTTAATCTTTTAGGATTCTTTTGTTTCAGGTATAGTACCAGAGGTTTGGATGAAGGCAGATGTCGTTCCTATATTTAAAAAATGTTCAAAATCCTTGCCTTAAACTGTGAGCTTAACTTCTGTGACTGGGAAAATATTTGAAGGGCTATTAAGGGATAATAATCAGGAATTCATTCAGAAGAACTTTGTTATTAGCAATAATCAGCATGGTTTTATGAAATATAGGTCATGTCAAACTAACCTAATTGCATTCTACAAAGAAGTAAGTAGAAGTATAGATCAGGGTGTTGCAGTGGATGTGATCTACTTGGATTTTGCCAAGGCATTTGATATGGTTCCTCACAATAGGTTAGTCTTCAAACAAAAAGAAATTGGTCTAGCTGAATATTCTTGTTCTTAGGTAGAACATTGGCTTAAGGATAGATTACAACGAGTTGTCATTAATGATAATTTTTTAAGCTGGACAAAAGTGGTACGTGGTGTCCTTCAGGGTTCTGTTTTAGGACCGCTTCTATTTAACATATTTATAAATGATCTTGAAATAGGCATTGAAAGTCATGTTTTAGTGTTTGCAGATGACACAAATCTTTGTAAAGTAATAAAATGTGAGCAGGATATTGCTTTGCTGTAGAGGGATTTAGATAGATTGGGGGACTGGGCACTAAAATGGCAGATGAAATTTAATCTAGAGAAATGCAAAGTTATGCACTTTGGGGTCAAGAATGCACAATCAACTTACACCCTAAATGGTAGTGAACTAGGGATAACCACACACGAGAAGGATTTTGGGAATTGTTATAGACAACAAATTAGGCAGCAATATGCAATGTCGATCTGCAGTTGCTAAGGCCAGTAAGGTTTTGTCATGTATAAATAGGGGTATAAATTCTCGGGATGAAAATATAATTTTGCCTCTTTATAAATCGCTGGTAAGACCACACCTTGAATATGCTCTGCAATTTTGGGCACCTGTTCTAAAGAAGGATATCATGGCACTAGAAAAAGTGCAGAGACGAGCTACACAATTGTTAAAAGGAATGGAGCATTTTAGTTACGAAGAAAGGTTAAAAAATTAAAATCTCTTTAGTTTGGAAAAACGGCGCCTCAGAGGGGATATAATAACATTATACAAATATATTTGGGGCCAGTACAAACCATTATCTGGAAATCTATTCATAAACAGAGTTGTTAAAGGACACTATAGGCACCCAGACCACTTCAGCTGAATGAAGTGGTCTGGGTGCCAGGTCCCTCTAGTTTTAACCCTGCAGCTATGTTTCACTGAGGGTTAATCCAGCCTCTAGTGGCTGTCTCACTGAGAGCCGCTAGAGGTGCTTCCGCTATTCTCACTGAGAAAATCACAGTGAGAAGATGCTGGATGTCCATAGGAAAGCATTGAGTAATGCTTTCCAATGGGCGGTTTGACGGTGCGCACGGCTCTTGCTGCGCAAGCACATTCGGAGCTGACGTTGTCAGAAGAGGAGAGTTCCCCAGCGCCGAGGGAATTGGAGTAAGGTAAGTGGCTGAAGGGGTTTTTAACCACTTCAGCCCAGCGGGAGGGGGGCCATGAACGTGGGGGGGGGACCTAATGACCCTATAGTGCCAGGAAAACAAGTTTGTTTTCCTGGCACTTTAGTGGTCCTTTAAGTGTTTATTTTGTTTTTCTTTCTCTAGAAATTGTTTGAAGATGTTTGATAACATTACGTATATATTGCATATTTTAGTTATTTGGTAGAAAATGTTTGTCACTAGGGCTTTTTGTTAAAGGAATTCTGTCAAGCATTATGTAACAGTTTTGTTTAATTGTCTATTTTTCACCACAAATGTGCTTGAATAGGTCCATACTGATTCTAATTCTCCATACATTCTGTGTCTATTTGGTGTTCTGTACGTATGACCTGACATGAACTGGGATCAATCTCTCAAACCGAGCAAATCCTGCCATGTCAAGTCTACATATATTCCGGATTAGTAGTGTGGATAGTGATGGACCAAAAATGTAACATTTTTAAGAACTTTACATTTCTATATTTTCATCCTCTATGTATTGATGACATTTTTATTTTCTTTAACCCCTTAAGGACACATGACGGAAATATTCCGCCATGATTCCCTTTTATTCCAGAAGTTGTGTCCTTAAGGGGTTAAATGTGAAAATAGTAAATGTGTTTAAAACATGTGAAAATGGTTGCTAATGGTCAGAAAAATACATTCCTAAAGAAATAGGTTTGTTGAAGAAAACCTTTTTTCCATTCTTTTTTTTAAAACGATTACTTGTATAATTTTCTACATAGTCTCGAGAACTAGAATTATCATTGTACTGGCATGACCGGAGATCACTGTGTGCCACCAAGACTCTGAGGTTAGAAGAATTTCTGGTCAACCAGAAACAGGAACTGTGCCTACAGCTGGAGCCACAGGGCACCCTTTTCATCGAGGTGAGGAGTGGAGAACTAGTCTAGGGACTTCATCAATTTATATTTATTTACTTATTTTAATTTAATAATGCTTAAATAAAAAGTATGATTCAATTACACAATTTTGCAATTAAAAGCTAATGAAATTAGTTTTTCTCCAATTTTACAAATTTAGTGTACAAAAATAGCACTATGAAGACTATTGACTAAATATCTAATTGTTACGAACTGTAAACAGAATGAGAAAATGTATGCAGCAATTATGCAGCAATTTATCATTCCCTAAGTAATTCCCTAAGTCAGCTCTAGTCACATTTTGGCTTTCTAACTTAACTTTGTGACTCAGTTTTCAATTCACGCCATTGAACCCCTAAATACATATAACTTATTCCCTATGTTAACACTCAGAGGATCTTTACTTTTCTAAATAAAGAACACTATATCAAATGCTTAACTTTTTAGCTAAACAAATAGCTTTGCTTAATGTGATCAGCTGTAGAAGTGCAGATTTCTAGCCATTTATTTTCCATTCGTGTGTCTGTTTATATGTTGGTGTGGCACAATGAGGATATTATGATTTACTTCCAGCAGTTAACTCTTTTGGTTTGTTTTTGAATAGGTGGTATTTTCATATCCTTTACCCCAGAAAAGGACCAGACTTCAGAAGCTTAAGAAGCTCTTCTCCAAAAAAAAAGGTAATTCTATGTTTAACATGTCTCGCAAAAAAATATTATTATTTGGTTACTAACAAGAGGTGGACCCCTGTACCTCAGTATGGGCCCCCAGCATTATAGAAAACTTCAAACTAGTGATCCATTGTGAATGGACTTGCATTCACTTACCTGTGTGGGATATCGCAAGTTTCATTTTCTTGTGGGCCGTCAGATTAATGTATGTGCGACCATTCTAACATCCATAGTGCATTATTGATCTCTGTGTATCATATACAATACTAATTTTATGTTCTTTGCTACCTTTATAGGAAATACCATCCATCCAGCTGCAGACATTAATGCAGTAAACGACTCTCTTCCGTTGTCTGTAGAGGACACTGAGTGTGTGAAGCCACCAATACCAGCTGTGGCTGCCTTAATGGAAGATGTCATCCAACCATTGCCAGAGGAAGATATCATTATTGACCCTCTTCCACTGCGGGTAGCAGACACTGACAGCTCGGAGCTACCACCACCAGCTGCCACTTCCTTTACGGAAGAGATCATCCTACCATCTCCAAAGGAAGATATAATTATTGATCCTCTTCCATCAGCAGTAGCAGACACTGACATCTTGGAGCTATCACCACTAACTGTTACTTCCTCAACAAAAGAGATAATCCAACCATCTCAAGAGGAAGATATAATTATTGACCGTCTTCCATTGTCTGTAGTGCACACCGATAGCTTGAAACTATTTCCACCAGTTATCACTTTCTTTACAAAAGAGATCATCCAAACATCTCTAAAGGAAACTGTAAATATTGACAGTGCTCCACTGCCAGAGAGTGTAGAGCAATCACCAAGAGCTGACGTTACCATTATAGAAGAGGCCATTGAAGTTGAACCACCTCCAGAGGACAATGGCACTCTTTCATTGCCAGAAGAGGACTTGAAAAACCAAGAGCCATCATCGTCAGCTAGGTATTCACATATTCATCTTTCTCATCAATGCCGTTAGGCCATAAACCTGCTACACATTTTCCATAAGCTCCTTATTTGCTCCTCTTTTCCACTCCCTCCCATCCCATTTCATTTATGTAACAAGCATGTCATATATTAAAGGGATTCTGTTTGTACAGTCTGTCTGACAAACAATGATGTGTGTCTCTGGACCAATGGTATGATAACGTACACTGTGTCTTATAGGAACATTTACTTTTGGGTTTTTGTTTTTTTCATGGAGGAGGGGGCTGTATGCCTAATAGTGATGTCGCGAACCATTTGAAGGCAGGTTCAACATGGATGCTGGCCAGGAGGTGGGAGGGTCTGGGAGGGAGGGTCTGCTGGAGATTGGCCGGGATGTGTCAGCTGACCTTCGTGGCGAACCGCGGCAAGCCGTTCGCAGGAAGTTCGCGAACTGTTCGCGACATCTCTAATGCCTAATTAAAAATATATTTTTAATAATATTATTTATATAATATTAATAATATTTAAAAAAAAACATTTTCTTTACTTTGCAGTATTCAGGAAGGGTTTGCTCTGACCATTCAGGATTTCGAATGCCTCTCTGTGTTGGGCAGAGGACAATTTGGAAAGGTGGGTTTTGGGATGGATTCCAATTCTAGTTAGATATAAAAGGTGTGAAAACAAATGCAATTTAACAAAATACTTCCTTTTTCATTTCAGGTCCTGCTTGCCGAGTACAAATATACAAAGACCGCATTTGCCTTAAAAGCCCTGAAAAAAGAAGAATTAATTACAAATAATACTATCCATAGGTCAGTAAATGGAGTGTAATAAAAATCTTAGTTTGATTATTTTTGGGGGGATTGGGGTCCTGTTTGTCAATTTTTTGTTTGTGAGCAAAGAATTGTCTTCAAAAAAGTGCTTACATTAGGTATTATTTGTTGTTTCCAAGGCTTGCATATGAGAAGCAAATTCTGCAGACCATAAGCAGCATACAATACCCTTTCCTTGTGAATCTCATTGCAAGTATCCAGACTCCAGATTATGTCTGCTTTGTGATGGAGTATGCCGCAGGTGGAGACCTTCTAGCAAATATTAAGAAAAACAACTTGTGTCCATTTTCAGAAACCAGAGCTATGTAAGTATAAATAGTTTTTAGATTCTGACTACATATCTAAACCTCTAAACAAAATGTTTGCAACTGATGACTTAAAGGGACACTCCACTGCCCAAATACAAAAAAAGAAATCACTGTTTAGTAGTTTAATTATCCATTTAGTAGTCAGGGTATATCTAAAAACAGCCTGCAAAAACTGCAGATCTCCTGTCTGCAGCCTTTACAAGCCCTCCCCTTCTAATCCCGCCCAGACTTTCTGTGGCTGTCCAATGACAGACTTCCCAAAGCAGCTCAATGAGAAGTCTTTGTAAGCTAGGTGCTCTGGGCAATTGCTGCCTCTTGAGTTTAGCTCCACTGAGCTAATCGAACCAGGAAGTAACAGGAGCTGTTGTATGATTGACAGCCAGGGGGAGTCTCCAGGTTAATTTTATTGAAATCTTCACTTTTTGTAAAAATGAAAAAAAGAGGAAACACTCTTTACACGTGAATTAAGGTGAATTACAAATCCATGAAGTCTACACAGATTACGATAGAAGATGACTGTTAAGACCTGGGATACAAGACAATGCAGGAAACATGTCTGGGCATAGAGTGACGCAGGATGGGTAGAATCAAGTGCTGCAAAATCTAAATTTCCTTCCCTAGAATAAAAATGACGAATTCACTTTTCCACAGGTTCTATGCTGCGTGCTGTGTGCTGGGCCTAGAATTCTTGCACAAATTAAATATTGTTCACAGGTAAGTGTATATTATTACTATTATATGTTAGTTATATTATTATTGTAATATTAAATAATTATGTCATGTGTTAGTTTAGTCCTTACATCTAACCTTTTAACAAGTCTAAATAATAAAACTCCAAGTTCCCTCTAGTGATACGTACAATTAATAAACTATTTTTCTGCATTTTAATCTAGAGATATCAAAATGGAAAATATTGTTATAGACAAGGACGGATATGCCAAAATCACGGACTTCGGTTTTAGCAAAAGAGGTAAATATTATTTTATAATTAGTAAAAGTCATTTCTCACAAAGTTACAGAATTAAACCTTATTCACAGACAAATAACATCCAACTACATACTGAATTAAAAATATATATGAAACACAAAAACGCATATATTTATAGAATTCGAAACAAGAGGCCATTGTACAAATTCAAATCCAGTTGGAAGTCCAGGCGATTCTGGAGCAACAACCAGATTAGATGCTGGAACACAATAGAGATTAGTTAATATTTGTACAAAGTTACAGAGAGAAGATGTAGCTGCAATGCACCAACTCCTTGCAGCCATATTCTAATATCACCTAGAAGAAATATAAATAAAATAATTAAAAATAAAATATACTGTATGTCAGCAACATAAATGCAATTTCCTGAAATGAGGAATCTGTCAATATTTTTACTTACGTATATTTATATTTTCTGAGGGATGGGATACAGATATCGAACCAGAACATTTTGTGGCACCCTGGATTATATGGCACCTGAAATGGTTATGGGAAGATCATACACAAGATCTATCGACTGGTGGAGTCTTGGCATTGTTACTTACATAATGTTGACTTCAGGGGTAAGAATTGCTTACTTTTACACATTTGCAGGTTTTCTGTTTTGGAAATCAAAATCCCCTGTGTGATATTATACGGGCAGCCGATGTAGAATGGTCAGAATTAATGGACACCGTGAGCACCGTAACCACTACAGCTTATTGTAGTACTTTGATTACACTCTGTACTATATTGTGCTCGTATTCCTTTTTACATATACATTGTTTTATGGTTCATATTCATAGGTTGTTATTTTCATGACTTTCCCTGCAGTGTGAGTGTGTCTAGCGCAATAATAAATACATAATTTGTCACAAGAGCTCATTTATTTATTTATCAAATATTTTACCAGGAAAGATACATTGAGATTTCTCTCGTTTTCAAGTATGTCCTGGGTCCACAAATCATTGCATTGTTACAATAGGGTACAATGAAATACAAAAATAATATTAATACACAATATATACAAAATGTAACATAGAACAGGTAGGAAATATATAATCAAACATGACAGGTGCATTCTGTTTTGAGGTATGTAGAGAGGGATCTCTTAAAGGACTTTAGGCTTAGGGAAGATTTGAAAGTGTGCGGGAGGTCGTTCCACAATTGTGGCGCTCTGTAGGAGAAGGAGGATCGGGCCACTTTCTTTTTGTATTAAAGTAGACTAAATAAAGTGTTGGTACTGGATCGGAGGTTATAGGAAGTGGGAACAGCTGGGGAGAGCATTTTGTTCAGGTAGGGTGGGAGCTTCCCAGAAAATCTCTTAAACACAAGGCTGGAAAGATGAAGGGTGCGTCTGGATTCCAGCGACAACCAGTTTAGTTATTTTAGCATGTCACAATGGTGACTCCTGTAATTACATTGTAGCACAAATCGGCAGAACGAGTTATACAATGTGTTGAGTTTATTAAGGTGGGATTGCGATGCAGATGCATATACTACATCCCCATAATCAATGATTGGCATCAGCATTTGCTGTACAATCTTTTCCTTTACTGTAGGGCTTAGGCAGGATTTGTTTCTGTACAGGGCACCTAGTTTTGAATAAAGTTTAGATGCAAGCTTTTCTATGTGCAGGCCAAAAGATAGATTGGGGTCTAACATCATACCCAAGTATTTGAAAGAGTGGACAGTGTGCCATTTGATTTTGTTTTGATGGATAGGTGGGAATTGTGTAATTTGTGTAATTTAGGTACTGTTCCAAAGATCATTGTGACAGTTTTGTCAGTGTTTAGGAAGAGTTTGTTTTTTGCGATCCACTTTTCTACCTCTGTAAACTGGTCTTGTAGCACAGCCTCGAGCTGCGGTAGATTGGATTTGCTCGCATAGATCACTGTGTCGTCTGCGTACATGTGTACATTTGAGGATTTGCAGACATTAGGCAGATCATTTATAAATAATGTGAATTGTAGGGGGCCGAGAATGGAACCTTGGGGAACACCACATGTGACTGGGAGAGGGAGGGAGTTGCTGTCAGAAATGGACACATATTGCGAGCGGTCCAACTGCTGACACACAATTATTCATAAAATGTTGACAACTACTAACTTCTAATAACAACCTATGAATATGTATCTATGCTCCCTAAATACCTTGCTTCTAAATAAAGACACTGACAATGTTTTTGGTGGATAGGGCATGGGCTTTACTTAGCTGAACAACTTGCCAGCAACGATCCAAAATAAACTGTCAGCTGCCGGCTGAGTACAGGCAGACAGATAAACATTTACTTTAACCCACTGCAGTCCGCACTCTGCCTTCAGCTTCTATGCAAACCCCAAATGTTCTCATATATCTGCTGAGCTGGCGAGGGCACCGCTGCTGTAACAACGCAGAGAAAAATAAAAAACACAACCCATGAATACAAACAACCCAATATCCTACTCCCTATCACTACTATATAAAAACCAGGGCGGGTGGGGAAACAGGTCAGCCTCACCCAACACTCATGCTACCAAATGGTAAGGACCAACCAGCTCTCCCCTATTTCTCACCCTCACTTTTTGAAACATTGTAGCCAAATATTTTGGTTGATTCAATCCCAGAGGTGGGTACGAGTGTCATACTTCCTTGGCTATCCTCGGTTATACCACTTTTGCATCTTATGACCTTGCGCTCAGTGCTTTACAAACTAAAATGCACTTTTTCTAAATGTATTTTTCTTTTAGTTTCCCTTCCCAGGTGATAATGAAAGAGAGGTGATGAGTCACATAGTCTACACTGAAGCCTACTATCCGGAGTTCCTATCTCTGGAAGCAGTCTCAATAATAAGAGGTGTAAGTTGCTTTTTAATTCTGATAGATTGAGTAAGGTGAGGTCAGATTTCTAGTCTCTACTAATGAGTGGAAGATCATTGCTGACAAGCTGTCCTGGGAAGAAGGAAGTCTCTGAGCAGCTTGTTCTAATAGCAGTTGTTATGTAAGGTAGGAGACAAGCCGATGATGACGTTCTAGTTCCTGGAGGCCCCAGGACTAGAGTTCCTGCATGGAGCTCTGCTTCTGAGCTGTATAGCTCTTATGGCTTTTCATACTGTAATAATGTATCACGTCATATCTCAATGTCTTGGATAAATACAAGCCAAGACCTTGTTTGAATCTTGACAGATATTGGGAAGTAACATAGAAGGTACAGGAAAAGACTCAAGACTTTGGATGGGTTTTAGACGAAGGGAATTAGATTTTCTTTTCAATTTTCTTTTAGTTTTATTTCATATTTTAAGAATATATGTTCTCATTAGTTATGCACATTTCAGCATAGTATATACACCTTTCATTTTGTGGAAGCAGGAATCATGCCAGCAATCAGGGGAGAAGAACTATGTCTAGGCACCAGAACAAGATGCTATGGTTACATGGTGCCTACCATTTATTATGCTCTGCATTACCCTATACAGAGTATCTGCAACAATAATGCCTGGAATTCTGATTTTTATTTTATTAACTTTTTTCAGCTTTTAAATAAAAATCCCAGAGCCCGTCTGGGTTCCAGCAAGGATGACTCCGTCGATTTGAAGTTACATCCTTTCTTCGAAGTATGTCCGTGTTCTATTAATTCCTTTACCATTGATGTGTAGAGTTAATGTCCATTTCTTGTCTGATTTAGCTTAGAGTGGAGCTGTCACTTTAGAGAGTTATACATATTTTAACATCTTAATCAGTATTATATTTTAGCTGCGCTTTTAAAATAAATACACAATGTTCCACGAATTCTTGTATTTGCATGCATTCAGAGAATTAGAGGGAAATTATATCCAGCTTCAATCATCCAGTCACCATCTACATGTCTGAAGTACCCTGAACCCCGATAAACACTTTAAATGTGACAGTTCCCCTTTAAAAGTTTGCTGTATATAAGATAAGAACAGTTCCCTGACTAGTACAAGTGATAAGCCAGATTTAAAGAATATATATCTGAATGCGAATAGAATTCCCAATATAGTGCTGAACTCACAAGTCTTTAGGGAATAATATTCTTCCAATTTTACGGTTAAGTGGCTGTTTGCTGACAATTATCAAAACATGAAGTTGGAATCAGTGGTGGTTTTTGAAGTTTAAAGATAGTGGGCACTATTTCCTGTGACTTGTTGAGTTCTGTCTACCTAATCCAACTATTTAAACCATGACCGAACAAGACTACATGTCATATTGAAAACCGTAATCCTATAGATACAAACATTAAGGAACAATAACCCCTTTAAAGATATCTAACTCCACCTAATGATGCTGCTACCCAATGACAGCATTAAAAGAGATGGTAAGGCCAGGATTTTGAGCATCCAAGATTTTAAAAACCGAGTGCAAAGCCATTGGCGGGTATCGGAAATCCTTCTAGAACAGATTAACATGTCTTAGATGTTTATACCCAGAAATTGGGTGTTCTTTAAAAAGTAATGCCAAAATCTTGAAATCTAGACATCAATAAAGGAGGAGAAACTGCAAATATAATCATGACAGGCACAACAGGTATTTTATCTAACATACACTTACAGATTTTATTTGATTTTTTTGCAATAAAAACTCTAGGGGTCACTGTTTTTCCTGCCCCTATGGGCCAGCCGCCACTATTTTTGTGAAATGTTTTTGATATCTGTTATTTTGTATTCTTAGTTCACTGATTTATATAGTGACACTCATTGCTTATCTTTCTCATTCTCTTCAAACCCTTTTTCTTTTTTTTTTAACAGGACATAAACTGGATTGCGTTGCTGTGTAAAGAGATCAGACCTCCATTTGTGCCAGACATTGCCCGACCATATGACGTCAGTAACTTCGAAACAAAATATACATCACAGGCCCCCATTCTAACACCTTCAGAAAAGCCACTGACAGCGGAAGAGCAAGATCTATTCCAAGGTTTCGACTGGGAGGCCGACTACGATGAAGAATGAAGACAAAGTCAACGATGGACTCTGCTGGAGTAGGCGTTTAACACAGGGGTCAAGTCCTGGGGAAAAAAGTGTGGGAACTCTCCCCCCCCCAAAAAAAAAACATCCAACAGACATCCACACACAGACATCCAGACATCCACAAACAGACATCCACAAACAGACATCCACAAACAGACATCCACTAACAGACATCCACTAACAGACATCCACAAACAGACATCCACTAACAGACATCCACAAACAGACATCCACAAACAGACATCCACTAACAGACATCCACTAACAGACATCCACAAACAGACATCCACAAACAGACATCCACTAACAGACATCCACAACAGACATCCACAAACACACATCCACAACAGACATCCACTAACAGACATCCACAAACAGACATCCACAAACAGACATCCACAACAGACATCCACAAACAGACATCCACAAACAGACATCCACACACAGACATCCAGACATCCACAAACAGACATCCACAAACACACATCCACAAACAGACATCCACAAACACACATCCACTAACAGACATCCACAAACAGACATCCACAAACAGACATCCACAAACAGACATCCACAAACAGACATCCACTAACAGACATCCACAAACAGACATCCACTAGACATCCACTAACAGACATCCACAAACAGACATCCACACACAGACATCCACTACACAGACATCCACACACAGACAGACATCCACAGACATCCACATCCACATCCACAACAGACATCCACAAACAGACATCCACAAACAGACATCCACAAACAGACATCCACACAGACATCCACTCCACAGACATCCACAAACAGACATCCACAAACAGACATCCACAAACACACATCCACTAACAGACATCCACAACAGACATCCACAAACAGACATCCACAAACAGACATCCACACACAGACATCCAGACATCCACAAACAGACATCCACAAACAGACATCCACAAACATCCACAAACAGACATCCACAAACACACATCCACTAACAGACATCCACTAACAGACATCCACAAACAGACATCCACAAACAGACATCCACTAACAGACATCCACAAACAGACATCCACAAACAGACATCCACAAACACACATCCACAAACACACATCCACTAACAGACATCCACAAACAGACATCCACTAACAGACAGCCACTAACAGACATCCACTAACAGACAGCCACTAACAGACATCCACAAACAGACATCCACACACAGACATCCACTAACAGACATCCACAAACACACATCCACTAACAGACATCCACTAACAGACATCCACAAACAGACATCCACAAACACACATCCACTAACAGACATCCACAAACAGACATCCACAGACATCCACAAACACACATCCACACACAGACATCCAGACATCCACAAACAGACATCCACAAACACACATCCACTAACAGACATCCACAAACAGACATCCACTAACAGACATCCACTAACAGATATCCACTAACAGACATCCACAAACAGACATCCACAAACAGACATCCACTAACAGACATCCACTAACAGACATCCACAAACACACATCCACTAACAGACATCCACAAACACACATCCACTAACAGACATCCACTAACAGACATCCACAAACACACATCCACTATCAGACATCCACTAACAGACATCCACAAACAGACATCCACAAACAGACATCCACACACAGACATCCAGACATCCACAAACAGACATCCACAAACACACATCCACTAACAGACATCCACTAACAGACATCCACAAACACACATCCACAAACAGACATCCACACACAGACATCCAGACATCCACAAACAGACATCCACAAACAGACGCGTGGGAACGCCGTTCCCACGCGTTCCTGCAGGACTTGAGCCCTGGTTTAACATCTGTAAAAATTTTTATCTAATAAAAGTTTTGATATTTTTCAATTGATCGAGTTTGTAAGTGTGTAAAATGGGTATAATAGATGGTGACAGGATCAATTATTTTATCGACAAAGAGATAAAAAAAAGAAAGAAGTTGGTATAAAAAAATATACAAAATGAGAAAAAAAGGTAAAAGGGGCCTTGCCTTTCTGGAAAGGTTGTCTGCAGGTGTCTCTTGCATTGTGAACATTTATCAAAAAGTGGATCAGGGGCATCAAATAGTGGAAACATTTTCAGGCACCAGTTTGTCCTGGTAACGTGCATTAGAAGAGCAATTTAGCTTTATCAAGATACAAATCCCAGGACTAAGAATACATCTCCAAGGTTTCAGATGGAACTTTTGTTTCTGTAGATTAATCATGGCTACAGTTCTTCTATAACGTAAAAAAACTCCAGACCAATGGTGTACCTTGGTTATTCTAAATGCACCCATGGTATACACATTCCTGTGTGTCTCTGCACCCCTTCCTTCCACCTTTCCTATTGCTTCTGTGTTTCTATTAATCCCCCTACATTGTGTGTCTTTTAATCTGTGATTCTTACTGTGCATCTCTTACTCTTCCATAACTCTTGTCTGTCTTTTACCCTTTTTTGGTCCCCACGTATCTATATTAATAGTCCAAAAAATGAGGGTGCACTTCAAGGGATTTTTCAAATATAAATGTTGGTGCTCTTTATTGCATACAAGCAAACGTATACAAAGTCCCGATCGACGTTTCGACCCCTCTCTGGTTCTTTCTCAAGATCAACATGTGGTTAGTATAAGTGCAATATATATACGGTAATATTACAGTGACTTACAAATACAAATTGATGTTGCTCCATGTACCCGAACCCAGAAGGGCTCAAGCGTGACACGTGACTCCTCCGTGACGTGATGACGTGCTACGTGCCTAACACACAACCGACAGGGGACCCGGGCAGCGTTATATATCTTGATGCAGCCTGTCCTCCATAGTTCTCTTCTTGTCCTTTCTAAATCTTTTATTACATGTGTAACGGACCGTTTTGCTCACCAGAGGTTAAAAACCGTTTAGGCGATATTCCCCTTTCCAGATACACCGACAGCTAATGTAAGCACCGATCTCCCGAACTGGAAACACATGAACACTGGAAATATCCGAACAGGAAAATCATACGAAAGGTTTACACTCCTGGCAGTCAGCATACAATCCAATTCCCCCAATAACGAGACGACACTTCGTTTGAGGGTTAAGCAGAATCTGTTTTACTGGCACCAAAAGAACCTTCTTTTATGCAGGTTTCCCTTAGATAGGACCACCCACAGGGTTTTACAAAACAACCATAATTACAGAAACACCCCCAGCAATTACATACAAAAATCCTCCCCTCTGCCTGTGATCTAATTATGGTACACAATGGGTTAACATAATTAAACACAGGCAGGAAAAATACAGTTTTTATCCATACACTGTAACTTTAAAACTACACATCTAATCTTCATACATTACATATTATTAATCAGCAACCTTTAAACATAAACATAACCAAAACATCAGCCAAATCCATCCAGGGGTTAAAAAGTTAGCTAGAGTTCCCTTTATGACCGACCGCAAGCACATTTTCCTGCCCAAAACAGTTCCATAGATTTGGGCTGTGCGGCCGGTCTATTTCAGGCTGAAAAAACGACTAAGTCCCATCGCCGAATGGGACTTAGTCTCTGCAGCTGAAATAAGGCTGAAAAAAACGGCTGAAAAAAAGACTAAGTCCCATCGCTGAATGGGACTTAGTCTCTGCAGCTGTAAAACCAGTAGGGGAGAAGGTAGAGCTCAGCGGTGTTCGCGGAAATGTGTAGCCGATTTTAGTTCCATGAATTTGGCTACACATACCGCTGACCTTGTTCGAATGAACAAAGATGGCCGCCGCCACGTGTTCGGCAAACGAACAAAGGCCACCCAGCGTTCGGTAATTAAGCTGCGGTTAACGGCAGCTTCTGGGAGGTAAATTGCTGCCACACTTCAAATACAGGTGGTCCATCTGTGTGGTACTTGGTTCAGTAAGCCCCATTTACTGAACCAAGTGGGAAATAGCCAGGAACAAAGGGTTTTAACCAGGTCTGGGGACACAGGGGACACTGTCTTAACCCCTTAAGGTCCAAGCTTCTGGAATAAAATGGAATCATGACATGTCAGACATGTCATGTGTCCTTAAGAGGTTAAAGGGGCAGTGTCCCAAACAAGTCTGGGGACACCGTCTTAAAGGGGCAGTGTCCCAATTTTCCCTATGCCCCAAAAAGGTGCTTAAAGGGCCAGCACCAGTCCCATAAAACGTACATAAGCCCCAATATGCCCACCGACTGTCTTAAAGGGCCATACACACCCAATAAAAGTCCATACGTTTTCACAGTCTCCCAGGGGCCATAGTCTAAAGGCAGCAGGCGAGCAACCAGGCTTCTCCAGTGCACAGTGGCAAGGTTGGTTCCGCCACAATATGTCTTATTTTTATTCACATTTCATTCACCTATATTCCCATGTCATTACACAGTAGAGCCATCCCCCGTCGGTTGTTGTAGTGTCAGCTAGCAACCATATGGAGCACGTCATCACGTCACGGAGGAGACACGTGAGCACATCCGGTTTCGTGTACACGGAACATCAATTTGTTTTTGTAAGTCACTGTAATATTACTGTATATATATTGCACTTATACTAACCACATGTTGATCTTGAGAAAGACCCAGAGGGGGACGGGAGGATCGGGACTTTGTATACGTTTGCTTGTATGCAATAAAGAGCACCAACATTTATATTTGAAAAATCCCTTGAAGTGCACCCTCATTTTTATGGACTCTTTATTATACGCCGATTGCTCCAGGGTAATGAGTTTGTTTTATTAGTTAAATGGTGAGTGCCAAGCTTTTCTTACATGTTTATTTATGATGAAACGTTTCACCATCTTGAGCACCACCAGAGTTGAATATCTACTAAACAGTGCATTTATCAGATTTAAAAAAAAAAAATTATTTTATTTATAAAATATTTTACCAGGAAAGATACATTGAGATTTCTCTTGTTTTCAAGTATGTCCTGGGTCCACAAATCATTGCATTGTTACAATTAGGGTACAATAAAATACAAAACCAATATTAATACACAATATATACAAAATTTAACACAGAACAGGTAGGAAATATATATCAACCATGACACGTGCATTCTGTTTTGAGGTATGTAGAGAGGGAT